AACCACTGTTTACGATAGATTTAACTTTAAGAGCAAGAGGCCCGACCGAGAAACTGTTCAGAGGAGGGGGGAGAGAAATTTAAGAAGGGTTGGCCCCACTAAAAAATTAAAGAAATCTTGCAAAGTGGCTTGAAGTGCCAAAACCTTTTTTGGGTGAAAATCACCCTCCAAACAGCTATTGCAAGCCTGCGGTGACCTTTTTTTCAAAGACAAAGGGTTGTGAAACCCCTTTAGACCCAAATTTTTATAAAGGAACGAGAGGTAAAGGCCCTATGGACAATATGGGTTTTGCGAAAAAAAGTCCAGTGACTCGAAACTGGTCCTATTGGGAAAAAAAGAAGAAGGGAAGAACCCCAAAAAGGGCTTCCCCATCAAGTCCTTAATGGAAGGGATTCCCCTTCTAAACAAATAACCTCTCTCCCCCTCCTCCCCCCCCACAAAACCCACCAGATCTTCAATAAAAGTAATTTTCATGTAAATGTGCATGCCTTTTTCAGGGGGGGGGGTTAAAATTAACATTTCATGTGGGAAAAAATTTTTTTTTTTCATACTTTTTTGGGGGTCCTTGCACGGATTAAATTTTTTTTTTCCATTATTTCTTTTGGGGAAAATTTATTCAAAAAACCGATTTTTTCCCCTAACAATTACCCCTCTTCACGGATTAAAATCGTTTTGCGGGGGTCCACTGTACTTGTAAAAACAAAAAATTAAATTTTTTTAAAATTTACTTAACAAAAATTCAACCAAAAAAAACCCTTTTTCCCCTCACAAAAAGTTCAAAGTAAAAAATTTCTATACATAATTATGTAAAATATATATTTTTAAAAACCCCAAAGGCTATTTCCCCCCCCGAGGCAAAAAGGGCATTCAAACCCTTTAACCATCATTTATAAAATCATCAATTTTTGCAAGGGTGCTCAGATACACAATTTTGATTTTCCCTCCAAAACAGCCAAAAATAAACCAAAACCCCCCCCTTTAAAGTACAGGCACTGTAAATTTCCTTCCCCCTTCCCGTACCAAGTCCCCCCTAACTGGTTTCCCTTAATTCCTTCACAAAAAAATTACCCTGCCACAGTCAAAAAGCTCATCAAGTCCCAAAAAAACCATTTGTCTCTACTAAACAAGCAAAAAAAATTCTTTTTGCCAAAATAAGTGCCTTTTCAGCTTTTCATCAATTTTAATTATTTGATCCCTTTCAACTTCTACCAAGAATCCAAAAAAGTATTTACCAAGTCTTTAGGTTAGGGAGCACAATAGTCACACTTGAAAACACGACGAATTTAAAAAATTTTTCCCCCTGCAAATTGGGCCCTTTTTAACTAAATATACCCTATTACCCCAAAAAAGGCAAAGGTCAGATTTCCCGAAGAAGGGAAGGGGCCCCTTGGGCCTTTTAGGGTGAAAAAGGGAAAAATATTAATTAACCCAAAAATTTTTTTAAAAACTTAAAACAGAAAAACTATAATGCTCCACACACGTTTGAAATGGCGGTTTAATTTCAACTGGCTACTATTTAGTCTTTTTTAAAATTTATATGAAAAAGCCCAAAAATTTAAGATAATTTTCTTCGGGATGGAATGAAGGTCCCGACGGCAAACCCCTTTACAACTATTTTGCCCTTTAAAAACACCAAAAATATACAGGTGTCCCAAACTTTTTAAACCCCCCCAAACCAAGAAAAAAATTTTCTTTTAAACAAAACAAACTGTATCCCACCGAACCGGGTGGCCCAACAAGAAAAACCAAAAAAATTTTTTCCCCTTTTTTAACTTTTTGTCAGTATAAAAGAAGAGGTTACCCAAACCCCTTGCTCCTGGCATTTTAGTTGCCCCTTTCGACACTATTGGCTTACGGAGGAAGAATTGCGTTTCCCCAAATTTTCTTATAGAGATAAGAAAAATAAAAAAGAACAAGAACTAGTAAGAAAAAAGAAGAAAACCCAAGGTGTGTGTATAAAAATCTTGTGCTTAAAAATTCGCAAACAGGCGAAATTATTTACAAACATTTTCCCCCTGCATCCAAAAAGCGGGGCTTTAACCTGCCCACCTTATCAAGTCCACATTACTTTTCCACGATACAAACCCTACGATAATTATGGGGGGGCTTAGCCATGGACATAGAGACAATGTTTTTTAAATAATTTTTCCTGTTTTGGGGGAATTTTAAGCCCTTTTAAATCTCTTTCACTTCCATTGCATGCGGCCCCGGGTTTTGATGAAATAACCCTTTCAAAAGAGCTTGGGGCCCTGGGGTATGGGGAAACATCACTTTGCTTCGGCTAAGCCCCCCCATACTTATTGCAGGTCTAGTCCCCCGTGGTAAAGTACCCGGGGGACTCTGAAACAGAGGGGTTTGCAGGTTTGAGTCCCGCTGTGGACGGTTAAAAACAATGTTTTAAGTGCTTGGGACATGCATGTGTAATGTACCCTAAGTGTAAGTAAAAGAGCAAAATTTAAACCCGAAATCTTGCATGCTTATGAAGGAGGGGGAGAAAAAAAAAGAAAAAAGAAGAAAAAAAAAAAAAAAAAAAAAAAAAAAAAAAAAAAAAAAAAAAAAAAAAAAAAAAAAAAAAAAAAGAAGAAAAAAGAAGAAGAAGGACACCACAATCCTATATGTAAAACAATTATGGGCCTTTTGTTTTTCAATTTACTTTGGGAAAAACGGTTTAACCTTCCCGAGCAGTTGCTGCTATCCCAACCCACCCACCTAGGGAAAATAATTTTTTTTTTTTTTTTCGGCTGTTTCCCGCCCAGGCAGGTGACCCAAAAAAAAAGATTCCCCCAAAAAAAAAAAATACATTTTTCATTCAAACCCCTTTCAAAACCCCACTCATAAAATCACTTTTTTGCAGAGGTGTCCCATACGACAGTTTAGAAATCCCCCCAAACGTCAATATCCCAAACCCCTCCTTTTAAAATGCAGGGACTGTACTTTCCCCAAAAGTCAAAGCATTTTTGGGATGTTTTCTTACAAACCCGTTTTTCCTGTGTTTGAAGACAGGTTTAAAAGTTGGGGTTTTCCCTGCTTGGGGGCAATGCCCCAGATTTTTAAAATTTTTTTTTCCCATCCCACTGGAAGAAAAAATAGTCCTTACCCCCCACTTGGGAAGTAGGCAAATAACATAAATGGAAAATAGATGGACTAATACTAGTAGGGAATATCCAGCTGTACACTTAAAAATAAAACAATTTTACCTCAACCCTTTTTTTTTCTAATGCCACTGAAGTAACTTATGCTTTTTTTTATAATTTTCAACTTTTAAACTTCATTTTTGAAAATAAAAATTGAAAAGGGTGGGTGGGAAAGAAAAGAACATATGGTTTAGGGCAGCTAGTGTTGATTTAAATTTTTTTATATTTTAAAATTTTTTCGAAGGGGGTTTTCCCCTTTATACTGGATGGGCTCTTGAGACAAGGAATTTTAGCTTTTTTTTTTTTGATATCCATCAAAACAGTGCAGAACTGTATGATCCAAATTTTAAACACTTGTTTTTTTTGGGAAAATTTGTAAAAAATTTTACCATTTTTTAATCTTTTTTTGGAAGTAACCGTTGGGCCCCGCACTTTAAAGGAGGGGTTTTGGGGTAAATTTACAGTTTTGGGGGGACTTCCCAAATGTTTGGGATCTGAAACACCCCCTGCAAAGGGTTTGTGATTGTAGAGTGAGGTGAAAGTGGGTTTAATGACCCAATGATTTTTTTTTTGGGGAATCTTTCTTTCTGGGGCACCCCGCCTCGGGGGAGACAAAACCAACTTTTTTTGACCTTTTGCCCGTCGAAGGGGGAAAAAGTTTTGTGACCCATGTACAAACCCTCAAAAGGGAGATAAGGGGGTAAAGGGACTTAAAAAGGGACCAATTACTCCCTTTTCACTCCTATACAATTTGGGGCCGGGTTTGTTACCAAAAAGTTGGATTTCCTGATAGGCAAAAAAACTAGTTTTGGGCCCTGGTTGGATTATAAGTCTGGTGTGGGGGCTAGCTGGTTTTATCTATGGAAGGCGGGTTTACAGTAAATTTTTTAAAAAAATTTTCCCAAACAAAACCCCAGGAAATGTTTAAACAGGGGCAAACCATGTTTGTTTAGCCACTAACAGCAAAGAGACCACATTTTAATGTCACAATTCACCAAAAATTATAGGTGTGGGTTGGGTAGCAGAAACCGCCCAGGAAGGTACACCGCCTGCCAAGTGATGAAAAAAAGGGAAGCCGAAATTTGTTTTACATGATGGTAGGAGGGTGTCCTTTTCTGTCTCAAAACTAAGATTTCAGGTTGTTTGTACTTCTACTTACATTAGGTCACCTACACATACTTTTTTTTTTTTTTTTTCAAAAAGTGGGGCCATCTCCCCCCGAGGCGGGGTGACCCAAAAAAGAAAAAACCCCCCAAAAAAGAAAAATACTTTCATCATCATTCAACACTTTCACCACCTCGAACATTATCACTGTTTTTCAGAGGTGCTCAGAATCAACAGTTAGAAGCATATACATATAAAGAACACAACATATCCCTCCAAACTGCCAATATCCCAAACCCCCCTTTTTAAAGTGCAGGCTTGATTTCCCCATTTCCAGGACTCAAGTCCGACTTTTGAAAAAAACCCGGTTTTCCCTGAACCCCCTTCACTAAATATTACCCCCCACCTCCAACAGATCGTCGGGTCCCGTACCATTCCCCCTTCATTTCTATCTAACCCTACCACGCTTGCGGGGAAGTCATGTAAAAGCATATATATAACACCCCACGGGGTTTTTCTAAAAATTTTCTTACTGTTCTTGTTCTTTTTGTTTTTTTCTCTTCCTCCATGGGAAGGGGAAAACAGAATTCTTCCTCCTAACCATCTGTTTGGGAGGCAATTAAAAGCCGGAGAAAGGGGCTAGTAACCTTTCTCCTGTATATATTTCAAAGAAAAGGAGAAACTTTCGTTTTTTTTTTTTGGGCCACCCCGCCTGGTGGATAAAAAGGGCCCGGGGTGTGTTGAAAGAAAGAAAGAATTCACCAAAATGTAAATGTCAATGATCCTCTCACCTGTCTCATAATTAAAACCTCAGGTTCCTTCTTCTCCAGTTTGGAAGACAGTTGAGATGCAAGGTTGGAGACTTTGTTTTGTCCACGCATTCCAGTCTCCAGAGTTGACCCTTCACGCAGCTTCATTTCCAGCCTTTTTAGTGATGTGTCTATATCTCTGTATTTGGCAATAGTCTCTTCATCCTCTCCATTTTCCCTTAGACGTCTTTCGATATTGTGAAACTGCAATAACAGAATAAACAAAATTTAACATGTCAAACATAGAATTCAGCATTTAACCCTTTCAGGGTCCAAGGCCAAAATCTGAAGTCACGCACCAGTGTCCAAGAAAATTTTATGAAAAAAAAAAAAAAAATTATTTTTTTCCTTACAGAATTAAAAGCATATTTTGTGAAGTGGTAATAAAACAAAAAAAATTTAGAATCTGATCAGTAACATACCGACTACAGTGCCAATAAGTTTAATAGAAAATGATGTGGTGTGGCAACACACGAATTCCACATCGCGAATTATATTATTTTGTTTGTTTTAGTTGTTTTTTTCTTTTCTTTAGTCCCAATTTTTTTTCTATTCCTACGAACATTTGGGGCCTTAGAGACCAATACTGTATATAATGATATATAATAAACTCACTGTATTGAACACCTAACCGCACTAAAGTTATTATCATATTATGTTACCACTGTTGTGTTATACAATAAAACATGCACAAATATTGATAATACTAATGTTCTAAATGTCATATTTACAATCACTGGAACATGGTTTTCAGAACTGCTGAGCTTGGTGGAGACTCCTTTAAACAATGCACCATGCAAGAGTCACCGGGACATTCCTCACACATAAACCGAGTGTCTTTTGCGTCTATTGTTTGCTCGCGTTTTGTTTGTGCACAGACATTCTCTCTTCTGAGCAAATTTCTTTTGAATTGAAGGAAGCTGTATTATGAAATGATCACCTTCTCTCCTCAAACGCTTGGGTACAATCGAGTGATGAATCGATGAGCCATGTTTTTCTGGTATTGCGGTTGTTGTTACCTGGTACTTTTAAAGTCTCATTAAGAGTTGTCCTGACAACAGACAAACAGAAATTCATCGCATACGGTGGTCTCTGCTATAGCTACAGTCTTTATTTTCTGGTACATATTATATGCATTCAGCATTGAAATGTCCTAGAGATGGAAAAAGTTCATGTACCACTTGTAACTCTTAACGAACACATTCAACAAAACCAATCGCATGTCACACTTGTCCCACCCAACAGCGCATATTTTGTGTATAATCAATCAGTGACACTGGTTTTTTCGAATACGTCATTAGTCACTCGATCACCTTTCCACTGTCTTGCATTCAATTACTGGTTGAATGGTTGTCAACAATGTGACATCTCGTTTGTCATTGCCACGAAATCCATGATGTCATTGGCAGTAAACACCTGCATTCATCACACAACGGGTACACCTGCATTGAGCCTGGGCATATGTTATCGATTAGAACGTGCACTGTGCCACACACATCTGTTCTTATTCACCGTATGTATCAGCATGAAATCAATGAGGTAAGGCTTGTGTACCAGTTATCGGTAATAATTGTATGGCCCTTACCATACAAGGTGCCATCATGATTTTTCTCACATACGTCCACCTTGAAGATACCCAAATAGCATCTTGGTATCTTTCAATGTTTACTACCTTAGAATACAACAAAATCCAACACCAGGCCACTGTCACAAATCACAGAGTATAAAACCAATTTATACCAAAGCGGGTTCCTCTTGTTCGGACTATAACTGCTTGAATGACAGTCTACCTTTGAACAAAATCAAAGACTTCGTCATTACAAGATTCTTGAATGGATAAAAGTAATATCCTGACCTTTTGTCGAGGATACATGAAAACATTCTAATCTTGTATAACCTGTCACTTCTGTCAGGCCTGGTTTTTGTCAGAGAAGTGCAACATACATAACAGTATGATAACCTGTTCACTGGTATTATTTCACTGAAGATGGGTAGAAATTACCGATCTGTGACCAGTACTTTTTATATTATGCTTAAAGACGTGAAGGCATAAGCTCATTATTGTTGCACAAAGCCAATTCATTTTCTGAAACAGTCGTCTCATCCGCCACCTGAGGTAGACCTTGACTGTGGTGATAATGGTCGTATTTGCCATGTGTACTGAAAATACTTATTACTCTCCCTGGCAATACTTTCCATCAAAGCTGGTCAAAGAATAATTCAAAGAAATTCCAGTTCATTGGCCGTGGTTCCAAAGTGGACAGTAGAGATTCATTCCACATTGAGAGTCATCAAAGGGTGAGGCTTTGGGAAACAAAATTGGGATTTGCTGCAACCACACATACGGTTTTTGGTGATACTCGGACATCATAGTCTGTTGTACGGGTGCGGTTGTGGTATGTGGTCGTGTCTTGGTGGCTAGACGCTCCGCTGTCCTTGAACAGACGAGTCAGCAGCGTGGTCCCCGCGTGGCACTTGAGTTTTCACGCATTGCGGTGCCACTACCACCACCACACCACTAACGACCATCCACTGATGCCCTGAGGCCCATCATGCAAGTGTAGCCACATCATCCTCACTATCACTACCTAAAACGGGTGTTCAGGTGGCACGGGATGTAACTCCCGGGATGTTACTCGTCCCCTGGGCACAGCATTAGGGGTCCACTACCCGAGCGCAGTGGGCGCGAACCATACCGACTCTTCACTGGTGGAATATGATTCCTCCACTATCATACTCGAAGATCGTCGAGCTCGCAATAAAATCAAATCACCAATCCACGTCAGAATCAACGTCATTACTTAAGTCATAGGCCTGGCCACTCGAAAATATTAGTTTTCTCTCTTTACTTTAGGAACACCCAAGGAACCCGTGAAGTCACAAGGCCCACACCAGAGTTAGAAGGTCAGGAACGTAGGGATATTCCTGCACTTTAATCAATCCTGGTCCATTATTTCGGTCACTAACTTATCAAAGCCGTAGAATTCGTGTCATCAATTTCCACTTCCATCAAGTGTCAGAACTATCAGACAGGAAGATGAGAGTCCCAATTTTCCGTAAGGTGAGAGCTGACTTGCGACGAGGCATGGTAGAACAATGGTGACTGAGCCGGCGTCTCCCACAATGCTAAGCAGGCGCTCTAGAATTTTTGTTTACGGCACACACCCATGGGCGCAGACCCGTCCTCTCTCACATGTAAGGCCTATGGAGCGCTTTCCGCTGCTAAATTTGACGGCGCTAGAAATTTTGGCGTAGATCTACGGTTTTGGACACTCACCGAAAGCCGTAGATCTACGGGACGGACCCTGAAGGGTTAAATGTGACAATAATGATTACCCATACTTAAACCTCCATAGAATACAGTATAATACGTCATACTTTAAACATTTATTCTCATTCATATTTTAACTAATCGCTCTTGTATACATTACCGTGGCAAAAATATATATATAACTTTTATTTACTCCTCTATCTTACAGTGCTCATCACGGCATCATGCTGACCCGTATCCTCCCCTCCAAACACATACCAAAAACAACTCGAAACTATCATACCTGAAAGATTATATATATATATACTACATACTTACTGAGGTATTAAATACTTTAGTGCTGTGTCCCTTTATGCTAATCCACGTCCCTCAGCCATGTAGGGAAAGACTCTCAACAAGTTCTTGAAGAGTTTGGGGGAGGGTACATTATTCCATGCCTCGAGTAGAGCAGCTCCCTCCAGCCAGCAGATGACCGATATCCTTGCCCAGTAAACTCGGTACCACTAACAGATCCAATAGGTTCTCAAATAGAGTTTAGGTCTGGGGAATACCTGGCCAGTCTTAAAGAACATCATTTTCTACCAGATTTGGCAGTATGACACGGTGCACTGTCCTGCATAAAAACCGTAGCCCCACATTTGTCAAATGTCTCAGGTAAATTGTCACACAATAACTCCAGGTAATTATACTGGTTTTTGGGAAGCACAATGAGTTCAACACTCTGCGACACTGAAACGCCCCCGAACCATGTTAGCGAATCTTGGATGTTTTCGGTGGTCCCACCAGGTGTAGTGTGGGTCTCTAGTGGGTGACACTACCTCTGGGCCGGTACACATGTCCCCCCGCTCCCCAATAAGGGATATAGGGGGGGGGGGGGGGGGGGGACAGTTACAGGTGACGGCGAAGGTTGCTTCACCACTCCAAAGTACTTCAGAGCACTGTTGAGGATTCCAGTCAAGATATTTCTTTGCAAAATCCAGCCTATGTTTCTTCTGTGGCTTGGAGAGGATCGATTTCTTAACCTGGCGGTGACTGCTGTAGCCCAGTTCTGACACACATCTGCTAATAGTTCTTACAGACACCTCTGAGAGAAGATGTGGGCTTTCTTTCAATTCTCTAGCAGTTATCCTAGGTGTACTCTCTAACTGCTTCTTTAACACAGGTAAGGTATGAACAGATGTCTACTTCAAGGGGCCAGGCGAAGGTTTGGCAGACAGTATCTCAACACCGCTACCAGCCATGAAACGCTGCACCCAATTCCTCACTGAACGCTCACACACACCAATATTCTCCACTATTTCTTTCGTCTGGTGCCCAGCTTTGTGAAGGCCTATGATTTGAGCTATAGTTTCAGGTGTTAGACTTCCTTTTACCCATAATTAAACATTTATACACTCAAAACCAAAGGGAACACCGAACAAAAGATGAGGTGGACGAGAGACAAAAGTGCAACACTTCCTCTCACCACGGCAGCCACGTAAACACTGAGGAGTCATTGAGTGGGGCGGGAGGCAATGACATCATGCTAATGGCTGCTACCCGGCATAATGCACTGACGAGAAAAGACCCCCTCCATGGTAGGCCTTCAATTTTCATCACGGCATTATGCAAGGGCGCTCACCCAGCATAATGCCGTGATGAGCACTGTATATAACATGATACTGCTTTCTTTCATTATACATGTCATTAAAATCGAATCTATCATTATTTATGCATAGTACACAATACATGCCCAATACATCATTATCAAATGCCCATTCCAGTCATATTTTGTATATGTAGAAAAAGAGCTGAGGTGCAGCAGATTAAAATACATACTGCTTCTTAAAATAATCTTAATTCTGTTTATGACATGGTGCAGACTATTCCTTCTATATTAGGTAGATGTTCCTTTAGTTTTGCTGAGAAGTTCACTTCTTGTTTATATCATCAGAAGTGATCAAAGGAATAATAATGACAAACAAAAAGTAACTCAGGAAATTAAAGGCATCTTGATACAAGATGAGATTACATTACTGTAATAATTATAATAATTTCTTCTCCAAGATAATATCACTGTGCTACAAGATTTCATATATGAAAAAGCTCATAGTTATACAGTGCAATTTAACTGGGACAGGAGCAAATTTTTTCTTCCTTCGTATACCATGCGTGTTGTAAAAGTTGACTAAAATGCTGGGGACAAAGGGCTAGTAACCCCTTCCCCTGTATAAATTACTAAATTTAAGAAGATAAACTTTTGTTTTTCCTTTTGGGCCACCCTGCCTCACTGGGATAAGGCCGGTTTGTTGAAAGTAGCAGCAGCAGCAGCAGGAGAAAATTTTGTGATTATCTCACAATATGTTTTAGTCTCTGGCTTAATATAATTTGGGGTCTTTTCAGAAGAGTTTGCTACTGACTTCTGGCAACCATCCAGCTGTGGTATTACCCTGTGACTCTCATCAGTGCTACAACAGCTGTTGTTCTGTAAGGCTATTCCTGCAAGCATGTGCCACGAGTTAATGAGGTTTCACCAAATTCTCCCCTTCAATTCATGATTGCTGCTGAAATTCATGATGGATGTTACACCTAGGAAACGTGCAAGTATTGTAGCTCTTATAAAACGTGCTGATTGAATTTCAAACAAATCACCAAAAATTTGAGCCTAAAAAAGTCAACTATTAGTTGTGTTCTGAAGAAAGCTGACAACACTGCTGATTGTGGAGCACTGTGTTGAGGAAGATGTGAAAGAAAATGCAAGACAACACCTCACAGTGACAAGGTTATTGCAGAAATAGTGTGAAGGATCCCAAGAAAACCAGCAAAGATCAACATAGAGATTTGGCTTCAGCTGGTTTAAATGTTGATTCTTCAACTGTTCGACGTAGACTCCTTGAAGGTGGCAGGACTGCCAGAAAGCCGGTAAAGAGAAGATTGTTGACTGCTATGAAAGAAAAGAAAAAAGGGGGGGGGGAGGTGCAGTGAGCACTCGATCATAAGGGATGGATGACAGATGAGTGGAGAAAAGTCATATTTTCAGATGTGGAGCATTTTGAAGTACAGTGGACCCCCGCATAACGATTACCTCCAAATGCGACCAATTATGTAAGTGTATTTATGTAAGTGCGTTTGTACGTGTATGTTTGGGGGTCTGAAAGGAATAATCTACTTCACAATATTCCTTATGGGAATAAATTCGGTCAGTACTGGCACCTGAACATACTTATGGAGTGAAAAAATATCGTTAACCGGGGGTCCACTGTACATGTGTACAGGTCAGTGGTAGTGAGAGGGAGCAAAGGTGAACCTCTTCAGAATGAACACATTCAACAAGCACCAAAACACTCACCCAAGATGTTTTGGGGTAATTTTATTACTAAAGGCCCTGGACAGCTTGTTATTATTGAAGGAACAATGACAAATACAAAGCAATCCTGGCAACCCTTTTGTTTCCCATTGTGAATAGAGACTTTCCTGATGGAGAAGACATTCTTCCATCAGGATCTTGCTCCATGCCACACTTCCAGAAAAATGTTGACATTCCCTGAAGAGAGTGGGAATAAGCATTCTAAATTGGCCTGGAAACTCTCCGGCCCTCAACCCAATTAAGAATCTATGGGCAATAACCAAATGCAGGATTGTGAAACAGAACTATTCAACTATGGAGAAGCTAATTGATGCTGTTATTAGGACCTGGTACCACAACGAACTTGCCAAAATGTGTTCAACATTGGTTGATTCTATGCCAAATTGTGTATCAATGCTTATATGTAAAAGCAAAGGGTAGTCATCACTTATTAAATCAATTATCTGCCATATCACTGTTGTGTATTTTTCAAATAAACATTAATTTTCCAAATAAATGTCTTATCTCATCACTGTCCCAATTAATATGCACACTACTATACAAAGCATTTATGATGATACACAAATGACCTGAGCATAGGAGAAAAACATGATGATGTTTCGGTCTGACTTGGACCATTAGTATGTGACTAGTTAATGGTCCAAGTTGGACAGAAACGTTCTCGTAAGTTCCTTTTTCCTATGTGTGGGTTATTTGTGTATTGTTCCAGTCACAGTACTGTGCCTTTTTACTCTTCTCATTTATGATGATTAAGCTTATATATCCCTGAAAGCTTTTCTTTACTGAATAAATATTACATAATGACACTGTACTGATAGTTATGTAGTTTAAATTACTTACCTTATCATCATATGCATCTCTGTTCCACTTTGGCACTTTCTCCTTTTCTCCTTGTACATCTATACCAAACTTATTCTCATGAATCTTCTTCTCTAATTTTTGGTTTAAAAAATTTTTTTTTTTAAAATTTTCAAAATCCGACATAGTTTTTTATTTTAAAATTCCTTAAAAACCATTTTTCCCCCTTTGGGGCCCCCCTTTTTTGAAAAAATTTTAAATTTTTTCCCGAACCCTTCAAGCAACCAACCACAATTTTTTTTTTTTTATTTAGGCCTGGAAAGTATAAAAAATACATACAATTCCTGAAATTTTTTTTTTTACCCCATGGGATTCCCCCCAACGGGGGGGGAAAAAAAAAATTCCCCTTTCTTTCACCCCCAAATGTCTTCCAAAGGGTTTTTAAAACTTTTTAAAGCCAAAATTCCCCCCTTTCAACAAGATTCCCTTTCCAACCGGGGGAAAACCGGTTTCCCTAAACCCTAATAAATTTTTATTTGGCTAACCCAACGACTCAAAAAAAAAAAACCCATTTTTCCTTTCCCCCTTTAAAAACCCCAACCTAAAAAATCCAACCCCAACCAAAACCCCTTTTACCCCCCCCCAAAAACCCTTTCCAAAAACCCCCTTTTTCCACCAATATACATTTTTTTTTTTTTAAAATTCTCAAAATGCCAAACCATAAAAAACCCCTTTATTTCGGAAAACATTTTTAAACCCAAATTCCAAATTCCAAAACGTTCTCGATTTTTCCCCCTTTGGTTAAAATTATGCCCCAGCCTTTTTCCCCCTTTGACATTCTCAATGTTAACCCTATAAACTTTTTTAAAAAATTTTCCCCCCCCTTTTCCCCCAAGGAAAATTTTTTCTCACAGATCTGTCCCCCCTCCACTTTTTCCTTTTCTTGTTCATCTTTTTAAAACCCCATCCCTGAACTCCACCCCCAAAAACTAATCTTTCATTCCCCCATTTTCCCCCCAAATTATTCTTTTCCCCAAAAATTTTTTTACCTTTTTTGTATTCTATAAAGGAGGGTTTGGGATAGGGGTTTTTGGGGGGATATTTGTGTATTTTATACGTTTTGCTTTAAAATGTTGTATTCTGAGACCTCGCAAAAGCAGTGATAATGGTGGTGGTAAAAGTGTTGATTTATATAAAATTTTCTTTTTGGGGGTTTTCTTTCTTTTTTTGGGGCCCCGCCCCGGGGGGAGACGACCAATTGTTGAAAAAAAAAAAAAAAAAAGTATGACTGGAAGGGAAGAAAAATTAGATCTTATTATTATTAATAAAAATGGACCCCCTTTAAAAAGGGTCTGTCGTGTAAAGCGAAATTTTTAATTTTACATTGTTGCCATTGCACATTAATGTTTCAAAAAGTTGGAAAAACAAACAATTTTGTTTAAGGGTTTCATCTTTTCCCCCACTATTCATCGCAAATAATTTTAAAACCATTTTGTGAACTTAAATAAAAAAATAATAATTTTTAGCTAACATGCCTTGGGGGTTTTTCTTATCCTGGAGACTGGAGTTGGCAGTGAACTTGGCCTCCAATCTTTACCTATCTTAAAAACTTCAATGCTCAAACTTGAAGCTTCTTCATGAAATCTTCACTGCTGTTCCTCCCGTAGAAAATTTTTATCTTTCATATTAATTATATTAAGAAAAGCATGCAACATATTAAACAAACAAAACTTGTTCACATTTTTAATATGTTAGTAACCAATCAATTTGCTTCAATATGTGTAAAGAATGAATGATTTGTGTATGCGAGAGAAGGGGGAGTATTGGGGGTGACTGGGAGGGAGAGGGGGGGGAAGGGAGGAAGGTAAGCACAGGGAAGAAAAGAGTGTGTACACATACTAGATGCAGGCAGTGGGAGACTACAAGAGAGTAAATACCAATCTACAATAACTACCTGCCCAACCCTGCCTCCTATGCCCTGTCCAGCCATGCTGCTTGGCCATCCGCCTATGAAAGACAGACTTACTGTGCTGGTGGGTGCCACTGCCTCTGAAGATTTCAAGTTGAAGCCTATGCTTGTGTATCACTCAGAACCCCATGTTTAAACAAAAATAACCAAAGGGGTGGTGTGTGTTTTGGCATCTTAGAACAAATTACATTTAAAAAAATTTTATTTTTTGGGGGGAGATTTTCAATAGTTTTTTTAGGTACAATAAAACTTCTGGAACAATTAATTGGAAAAACTGGGTCCCCCTGCATTTTTAAACACTTCTAAAATTGTATAGGACTCTTTCAAAATCAATCTTTCATAATTTAATAATTAGTATTACGTACCAAACAAAAGGTTAAAAAACTGATACTAATACCACATTTCTAAAAAATTTTGAACACAAAATTAGAGGTCACAAACACACATACTATTAATATTTTTTTTTTTTCCCTGTGAAAATCCAAAAAGCCAAAAAAACTTTAATTTTTATGTAAACACTCGACTACCTCGTATATTACTCACAAGGATTTTTTTTTACATAAACTTTCAATTCCCTTTTTAAAAACTCCTGCCCCCGTGGAGTAAGAATACACAGAACTGCTAAGCTACCATTTAAGATCAATTTTGGAAAGAGGACAAATCGGCCCCTTCCTTCCCTTTCAAAGGGAGAAAAAACATTACTACCACATTTTTGGGGTAGTACCTTTTTTACACAAGGGGAGGTACTATTTAAATTTTAAAAAACTGAGGACATGGAAAACAAGCACCACGAGAATAGTTCCCCCATTAATTGCCAATTTTAAAATCACACAACACTAGGTTTTCCCTGTGAAGACTCCTGCTTGAGCAATGGGATACCCTTTTACCCCAAGTTATGTAAAATTTATACGGGCTTACTGAGGGTTTGGTCACACACATCTGCGGGGGACGTATGAACTGTTAATAAAAGAGTGACGGGTCAAGTCATTTGCTTGGCAATGTTAACATTTAAAATGAAAAGCCCAAAAATGAACTCTGACCAGTTTTCCCTTTTCCCCACAGTCCCAAATACCTTTTTTAAACCCTTTTACTGCCCAGACCCGACTGAAACATGCCCATGTCCAAAAACCCTTTAAAAAAAATTTTTTTTTTTTTTTTATAAAATGGTAAAAAATTTTTTTCGATGGTAAAAAAAAAAAAGAAAAAAATCTGAGGGAAAAACGGAAAAAAATGTGCTTTTGAAAATTTTGCTGTGTCAGCAATTTTACACACACGTTTTGCTCACGAGCCCTATTTTAAAACCAATTACTTTGTTCCATTGACAAATTACATTTTTTCCGGGCATTTCTAGCACAAAAATAACATTTCCCCTCTGTTTTTTTTTTTTATTAACACATCCCCACCAAAGCAGGGTACCGAAAAAGAAAAATTTTTATCATTCACCCCCATCACTGTCTTGCCAGGGGCACACTTACACCAGTTTAAAAGCAACATTAACACCCCTCCTTCAGAGGAGACACGAAACTTTCCATCTCCAGGATCAAGCCCGGCCTCCAGTTTCCCTGAATCCCTTCAAAAATGTTACCCACTCACCCCAAACACATTAAAGCCCAAATCTATTTTCTCCTTTTATCCTATCTAACATACTCTGGAAGATGAAATTTAAACACATGTGCAAATCTGGGTATCTCTATTGTAGACGTTTTGCCATCCAGTGGCTTTACAATAAAAAATTCCGGACATAATTGAAATAAGAACTTGTACAGAAGATAGGAATCAACCCCTAACCTATGATGGGTGGAAGAGCACCATATCAGGATTTCCACGTATGGTGCTCTTCGCACCTACCCTATTTTGGGGGGAGATTCCCTCATTTCTGTACAAAATTCTACTATCTTCAATTTATTTTTTTTTTTTTTTTATCACACCGGGCCGATTCCCACCAAGCAGGGGGGCCCGAAAAAAAAAAACTTTCACCATCATTCACTCCATCACTGTTTTGCCAGAAGGGTGCTTTACACTACAGTTTTTAAACGAAACATTAACCCCCCCCTTTCGAGTGCAGGCACTGTACTTCCCTCTCCAGGACTCAAGCCCCGGCCCCTCCCGGTTTCCTGAATCCCTTAAAAATTTACTTTGCCACACCCCAACAGCACGTAAGTTTAAAAAAAACCATTTTTTCTCCTTTCACTCCTATCAAACACGCCACGATCCCCTGCGGGAAACCCCAAGCCCCTGCAAAAAAACCCTCCTTTACCCCCTCCCTCCAACCCTTCCCTGGGGACCCCTACCCCGCCTTCCTTCCCTACAGATGATACACTCTTTGAAGTCATTCGTTTTCGCTCCATTCCCCTTACTTTCCAACCACCTAAAAAACCCTTCCCAGCCCTCGGGACAAAGTTTTGGAAATCCCGCACCTTCCCCTAACCCCCCAAAAACGATTCTCTGCATTAAATTTCACACCAAAACTTCCCCTCAACATACATCTCCCTGCTCCACCTTTCCCCCCAACTTCATCCCCACGCTTCACACCCTATAAAGCGTTTGGGTAAAACTATACTCTCATCATTTCCCCTTTTTGCCCCCAAAGGGGCAAAGTTCTTTGTCTCCACAACTCCTAATGCACCACTCATTTTTTTTTCCCTCATAAATTCATGATTCACCTCATCTTTCATGACCCATCCGCGCACGCCACTCCCAAATATTAAATACTTTCCCTCCTCCATACTCTCCCCCTCCAATCTGATATTAAATCTTTCATCACCAAATTTTTTTTTACCTAAACCTTACTTTTTTGAAATCCCCTTTTAATTTTTCTTCTTTTGACACCCTCCCAAAATTCTCCACCAATCCTGCAACTTCTTTTCAAATCTCCCAAAGCACATGTCATCAGCAAGAGCAGCTGTGACAACTCCCCTTTGTGTGTGTTTCTTTTTTTTTTTAACTCCACCCTCTTGCCAAGACCCCGTTATTCTCTTACAACCCCATCTATAAATTAAAAAAAACACCACGGGGCATCAACATCCTTTTCTAAGCCTACTTTTATGGGAAAAAATTTCCCCTTTCCTACATACTCTAACTTGAGCCTCACTATCCTCGTAAAATTTCACGCTTTCAGTAACCTACCCCTACACCAACACTTGCAACATCTGCCACATTGCCCCCCTATCCCCCCGTCATACGCCTTTTCCAAAACCAAAATGCCACAAAGACCCCCTTTAGCCTATTAAATACTGTCACTTATATGTTTCACTGTAAAACCTGGGCCCCACCCCCCTACCCCTTTCCCAAAGCCCCTTGTTCATCTGCATCCCTTTTTTCCGTCTTATCTTTTAATTCTTTCAATTATAACTCTACCATACACTTTTCCAGGACACTCAAAAACTTATCCCCCTATAAATTTTTTCACTTCTTTTTTCCCCCTTTCCTTTTACAAAAGGAACTATGCATGCTTTTTCCCCCAAACCCTGGTACCTTACCCCTTCCTACATTTATTAAATAATTGCACCAACCCTCCAAAAAATATACCCCACCTGCTTTTTTAAAATTTCATCTTTATCCCATCAACCCGCTGGGATTTTTTATTGATAAAGCCCTGATGGCAAAACTCTACAATAGAATACCCAGAGTTGCAAATGGCTTAATTTTATCTTGTCGGGATTGTATACCCTTTTTTGCACGCTCGTGAATGCTTAGGAAGTCCCAGCCCCTTATCCACAAAACTTTACCTCCCCCTCCAACCTTTCCCAGCCAACCCCTACCCGCCTTCCTCCACTACAGATTTATACACTTCCAATATTCATTTCTTCCTCTTCTCTGCATGTCCAAATCACCTCTACAACCCCTCCTCAGCGCCTGGAAATATTTTGTAAACCCACGCCTCCCCTAATTCCAAACTACGAATTCTCTGCATTATATTCAAACCCTACATTGCCTCAACATGACAACTCCCCCGCCTCCATCCTTTTTTTTGCAACTTCACCACCTATGTTGCACACCCATATAAGAGTGTTTATATAACATACTCTACCATTCCCCCCCTTTGCTTCCCCTGGACAAGTTTTTTGTCTCTACGACTCTTTAAATGACCACTACCTTTTTCCCCCCATCAATTTCTTGATTTCCCCTTTTCTTTTTGGCCACCGCTGACACACTACTCCTAAAATTGAATCATTTTACCTCCTCCATACCTCTCCCCCAAACTGATATCCAATTTTTCCCTCACCTAATTTTTTTTTATCCTCTCACCTTACTCTTTCCTATATTCACTTTTTTAAATTTTTTTTTACATACCCCACCAACTCATCCACCAACCTCTGTTTTATTTGTTACATTCCCAGGCTTTAACTGAATTCCATTTTTTTTTTTTTTTTCACCAAAAAAATAGAAGATTTATTTTTATGCAATATTGTATGAATAATAAGCACATTCATGAACATAATTTTGACGACCGCTGAACGTGTATGGGCGAAGACAATTTTTCAACTCTGAATATCAGCAAAAATCAAACATTTCCCCTACTTGAGCTCAATTTCAACTATTTTCGTCCTGAAACCAATCAAAATCACTCCCTTACTGTAAAATGCTTTCCCTTCTATCAAATGAGACAAAGAAACTGAGAATCAACCCTAAAAACTAGACGAAAAAACCCGCAAAGTTCTGTTTTAAACCCAAAAAAATGGGGCATTTTTGTTTTCTTATGCACGCATGCTCCAGGTATTTTTTTTTTTAGGTGCACATTACTACACTGACCCATTTCCTTTTCAAATCTTGGCCCAAGTTTACAGCTAAAGTTTTCTGAGTGAGTTGAGCTTCACGTATTTTAGGCATGGCCATGAAAAAAAAAGGCGTATACTATGGCACAATCAGGAAAGGTTTTTAAAATACAACCATATTTCAAGTAAACACAATTTTAATAATGCAAACAATGAATAATAAAATAAAGAAAAATCTGTAAAAGTAATTACTATTGCTGGTATGAAAACTATTAGTAAGGCTTAGTGGAGCATCAAACATATATTGAACACAATGATCACTAAGAAAATTCACATGCTGCTACATTCTCCACTCTTACAGGTCGATGATTCAGCTTCCTCTCTAAATCTTCCGCCTTTTCTCTCATTGTCTTAACACAATGCTTCCTATATTCAGTTATGCCCCAGTCTTCATCTCTGTTATAAGAACGTTGGACAGAGGAAGGATCAGCAATTCCACACTGTAACATCTGCATTGAGCGGATGAAACGTACATTGTCTAATTCTCGTCTTTCCTTCTGCTTCCTTAATTGGTCCAGTCGATTTGTAAGTATTTCTTCACGTCGTTGACGAGATTCAATGTCATCCTGGTCGATCATAAAGCAAAAACTTTCTAATCAATATTATAAGTACTGTAATCACTAAATTCTTTATCCACACACAATGACAATTCGTTGAAGTTTACCATAAATACTTAACACACTGCACTACATATTAATCTCCTCTTTGCTATTTTTACTAGCAGAGTAATAAGCATAAAATTACAAGCTTATTTTACTCCCACCTTAAATTCAACTAGTATAATTTTTGAACTTACATATCCATGTTTTGACTATTATTCCATAAATTTACAGGCAAGTACGGGAGGGCCCCCACATATACAATGTCTATTTTCAGTGTTCCACGTTTTCATTGGCTTTCAATTGAAGCGCTGTTCATTATGTTCCACCCTCCGACAATAGCCACTGGCAGGTGGAACATAATGAACACTGGCTCAATTTGAAGACAACGACAACATGGAATACCAAAAAGATGGTGCCGTATGTGCGAAACCCACCTGTATACGTACTGCATAAATCACTTACTGTAGGCACATTCAAAATGAGTAAAGAAATCTTTGGAACTTTCTAGTTTTTTTTTTTTAAACACATCGGCAGTTTCCCACCAAGGCAGGGTGACCTAAAAAAGAAGAAACACTTTCATCATCACTCACTCCATCACTGTCTTGCCAGAGGCATGCTGATGCTACAGCTCAAAAACTGCAGCATATCTCTACCTCCTTCAGAGTGCAATCACTGTACTTCCCACCTCCATGACTCAAGTCTGGCTAACCAGTTTCCCTTAATCCCTTCATAAATATTACCTTATTCACACTAACAGCTCGTCAAGTTCCAAAAACTACTTGCTTCCACTCACTCGTATGTAACATGTTCGTATATGCTTGCTGGATGTCCAAGCCACTTACACACAAAACATCCTTTACCCACTACCTCCAACCTTTCCTAGGGCAACCCCTACCTTACCTTCTCTCCACTATAGGTTTATAAACCCTCCATGTCATCTTATTTTGCTCCATCCTGTCTAGATGTCCAAACCACCACAACAACCCTTTCTTCAGCCCTTTTAGTCACTCTGCACCTCCTCTTAATCACCAGGCTATAAATTATCTGCATAATACTTAGACCACACATTGCCCTCAAACACAACATCTTCACTGCTTCCAGTCTCCTCCTCACTAACATTCACAACTCATGCTTCATACCCATATATGGGTGTTGGTACGACTATATTCTCATACATTTCCCTTTTTACCTCCATGGATAACATTCTTCGTCTCCAAAGATGTCTATGCATCACACACCTTTACCCTCATCAGTTCAATGGTAATATGTTACTAAATGCTGTAAAGAGTTTTTATGAGGATAGTGAGGCTCAGGTTAGGGTGTGTAGGAGAGAGGGAGATTACTTCCCAGTAAAAGTAGGTTTTAGACAGGGATGTGTAATGTCACCATGGTTGTTTAATATATTTATAGATGGGGTTGTAAAAGAAGTAAATGCTAGGGCACTGGGGAGAGGGGTAGGATTAAATTATGGGGAATCAATACAAAATGGGAGTTGACACAGTTACTTTTTGCTTATGATAATGTGCTTTTGGGGAAATTTAAAGAAAAGTTGCAAAGGTTAGTGGACGGGTTTGGGGAAGGTGTGTAAAGGTAGAAAGTTGGCTAGTGAATATAGATAAGAGTAAGGTGATAAGGGTATCAAACAATTTAGATAAACAAAAAATTGGATATTACACTGGAGAGAGGAGTATGGAAGAAGTGAATGTTTTTAGATATTTGGGAGCTGACTTGTCAGTGGATGGGTTTATGATGGATGAGGTAAACCATAGAAATGATGAAGGAAAAAAGGTGAGAGGTGCACTGAGGTATCTATGGAGACAAAGAACATTATCCATGGAGGCAAAGGAGGAAATGTACAAGAGTATAGTAGTACCAACACACTTATATGGGTGTGAAGCATGTGATGTAAATGCTGCGGCGAGGAGGTGGCTGGAGGCAGTGGAGATGTCGTGTCTAAAGGCAGGCAATGCATGGTGTAAATATGCAGAAAATTCGTAGTGTGGAAATTAGGAGGAGGTGTGGAGTTACTAAAAGTATTAGTCAGAGGGCTGAAGAGGAGCTGTTGAGGTGGTTTAGTCATTTAGAGAGAATGGAATGAAGTAGAATGACTTGGAGAGTGTATAAATCTATTGGGGAAGGAAGATAGGATAGGGGTTATCCTCAACAAGGTTGGAGGGAGGGGGGTAAAGGAGGTTTCATGGGAGAGGGGCTTGGACTTCTAGCAAGCGTGCATGAGCACATTACGTAGGAGTGAATGGAGGCGAATGGCTTTTGGGACCTGACAAGCTGTTGGAGTGTGAGCAGGGTAATATTTTGTGAAGGGATTCAAGGAAACTGGTTAGCTAGACTTGAGTCCTGGAAATGAGAAGTACAATGCCTGCACTTTAAAGGAGGAGGTTTAGGATATTGGCAGTTTGGAGGGACATCTAAACGGTCATACCTGAGCGCCTCTGCAAAGACAGTGATTATGTATGAGTGATGGTGAAAGTGTTGAATGATGATGAAAGTTTCTTTCTTACTGGGTCACCCTGCCTTGGTGGAAAACAGCCGTGTTTAAAAAAAAAAATCTGTGGTACTGCAATTACCAATTATAGCAGCTGCGTTAATAATAACAGGGATTCTTGCCCATTTACCATTTTGTCTTGACTGTTACTAGTGACAATTGAAATAATATGACTTATTCTCAAATCAACTTTGGTACATTCTACTGTATACAAAAAAAGAGAAAACTATACCATATACCGAACCTATGTATAGCCATTACTAAAAAAAATAATTGTTTAATTCAACAGCTAGCTAGACTACCAGTGAATTCCATACTTTAACAATTCAGAAAGAGGGTATTTTTTAAACAATTCTCTTTCAATACTGCTTTTGCAGATTAATTTTTCTCAAGCACATCATTATTATTTTTGTCATGGATTTCCTTATTTTATGTCATCCACGAAGATGGGATACGTGCAAGGGTAATATATTACACAAAATATATTACTGGTATAGATAAAGAATATTAGCTGCACAAATACACACCTGAGGTGAAGAAACTTTTTCACTTTTCCTCTTTTTCGTTCTTTTAAGAGATTCCAACCTCCTATCTGCAGTAGATACTCCAGCATCATCTATTAATCGACAAGTGATACGACCATCATCCCTGGAGAATGAATAGTAATGAAGTTAGGGGCAACTTTTGTAATATATTAAAGAAAATCAGTGACTCATCTTTTATTAAAATAACTACCCTTGGTTTCTCATGGAAGCCATAATGTAAGGCAAGTAAAAGGATTTTTTACTTTCTGGACCCAAATACAGTAAACTCTCAATATAATGGACTAACAGAGGGATTGTCCAAATGTCCACTAAATCAAATTAATGTTAAAAGGTAAAGTGTAAAAGGTGTAAAAGTGTGTACAGGAAGAAAGTTGAATGTGAACGTAGATAAGAGTAAGGTGATGGAGGTATCAAATGATTTAGATTAAAAAAAATTGGATATCACACTTGAGAGAGGGAGTATGGAAGAAGTGAATGTTTTCAGATATTTGGGAGTTGACTTGCCAGCAGATGGGTTCATGAAGGATGAGGTCAACCATTAGAATTGAGGAAGAAAAAAAGGCGAGTGGTGCATTGAGGTATCTGTGAAGACAAAAAAAATGTTATCTATGGAGGCAAAGAAGGGAATGTATGAAAGCATAGTGGTACCAACAGTCTTATATGGGTGTGAAGCTTGGGTTGTAAATGCTGCAGCAAGGAGGCGGGTGGAGGCAGTGGAGATGTCCTGTCTAAAGGCAATGTGTGGTGTAAATATTATGCAGAGAATTTGGAGTGTGGAAATTAGGTGTGGAGTTACTAAAAGTATTAGCCAAAGGGCTGAGGTGGGTTGGTCATTTAGAGGGAACGATCAAAGTAGAATGACTTGGAGAGCGTATAAATCTGTAGGGAAAGGAAGGAGGGTTAAGGGTCGTCCTCGAAAAGGTTGGAGGGAGGGGGTAACGGAGGTTTTGTGGGCAAGGGGCTTGAACTTCCAGAGTGTGACTTTGTCAATAGTCCAAGTCGGACCGAAACGTCGTAAGCTTCTCTCTTTTATGTGCGGGTTATTTGTGTAACTTCCAGCAAGCATGCGAGTATTAGATAGGAGTAAATGGAGCCGAATGGTTTTTGGGACTTGACGAGCTGTTGGAGTGTGATCGCAATTACTGTGTTTAGTGAAGGGATTCAGGGAAACCGGTTATTATAGATTTAGCCAGACTTGAGTTCTAGAAATGGGAAGTACAATGCCTGCACTTTAACCCTTTCAGGGTCCGTGCCGTAGATCTACGGCTTTACGTTCAGGGTGCAAACCGAAGATCTACGCCAAAATTCTAGCGGTGTCAAATTTAGCGCGAAAAGGCTGGTAGGCCTACATGTGAGAGAACGGGTCTGCGTGGTGTGTGCGCGCCGTAAACAAAAATTCTAGGCACCCGCATAGCTTTGTGGGAACGCCGGCTCAGTTACCCTTGTTCACCATGCCTTGTCGCAAGGCAGCTCTCACTCCAAGGAAAATTGGGACTCTCCTCTTCCTGTCTGATAGTTCTGACTCTGATGGAAGTGGAAATGAAGACGAATTCTTTGGCTTTGATCAGTTAGTGACCGAAAGGAATGACCAGGATATCGATAATAGTGCAGAAAACCCTGACAATACTCGACCTTCTACCTCTGGTGTGGGCACTCCTCAGTCACGGTCAGTTGTACCTCAACGCAAGAGAAAACTATTATTTTTGTGTGACCAGGCCTCTGACTTCAGTAATGATGATGATAGTGACATGGATTGTGATTTTATTGCTCTTGATGATTATTCGAGTAGTGACAGTGAGGAAGCATATTCATCAGTGAAGCGTTGGTATATACGCCGCAGCATGCGCTCGGGTAGTGTTCCCTATGCAGTGTCCAGGGGCTGAAGTACATCCCGTGACCCCACACGAGGAATAGACAGTGAAAGTGAGGATGATGTGGCTACACTTGGCATGGATAGACCACAGGCAACAGTAGGTGGTGGTGATGGTGGTAGTGGTGATGGTAGTGCCACGGCCATGCATGACTCACCAGCCCAGGCTGGGACCCATGCTGCTGACTCCTCAGTTCAAGGACAAAGCGGAGCGTCAGCCACCAGCCCACCACAACCACAACTACCAGCACAATCAGCCCATGATGTCCAGTATCCACCAGCAAACCGTATGTGGGATTGGCAGCAAAATCCCAATTTTGTTCCCAAGCCCCACCAGTTTGATGACTCTCCAAGTGGAATTCTACCTACTTGTCCCCTTGGAACCACTGCCAATGAACTGGAATTCTTTGAATTATTCTTTGACCAACCCTTGATGGAACTATTGTCAGGGAAAGTATTTTGAGTACACAATGGCAAATACGATGATATCACCACAGTCAAGACTACACCGGTGGAAAGAGACAACTGTTGCAGAAATGTATTTGCTTTTTGCAACAATAATGCTTATGCCTCATGTCTATAAGCATAATATAAAATCATACTGGTACACAGATCGGCTAATTTGTACCCTGGTCTTCAGCGAAATCATCCCAGTGAACAGGTTTATCTTACTGTTACGTATGTTGCACTTCTCTGACAAAACCAGGCCTGACAGAACTGACAGGTTATACAAGATTAGAAATGTTTTTATGTATCTCAAACAAAAGTTCAACATGTACTTTTATCCATTCAAGAATCTTGTACTTGACGAGTCTTTGATTTTGTTCAAAGGTAGATTGTAATTCAAACAGTATATACCGAGCAAGAGGAAACATTTTGGTATAAAACTGTTTGTACTCTGTGACTGTGACAGTGGCCTGGTATTGGATATTATTGTATACATGGGAAGTAAAACATTGAAAGATACCAGGATGTTATTGGGTATCTCAGGCGACGTAGTGAGAAGCATGATGGCACCTTATCTTGGTAAGGGGCATACATTATATACCAATAACTGGTACACAAGCCCTTTACTCAGTGATTTCTTGCGAGTGAACAAGACAGATGTGTGTGTGGCACAGTGCGTTCTAATCATAAACATATGCCCAGGTTCAACGCAGGCACTTATGGTGAAGAGGTGCAGGCATTTACTGCCAATGACATGGCATTACGGTGGCATGACAAACGAGATGTCACATTGTTGACAACAATTCACCGTAACGAAATGCAAGACAGTGGCAAAGTTGATAGAATGACTAATGGACATATTCGAAAACCAGTGACAGTGATTGATTATACACAAAACATGCGCTTGGTTGACAAATGTGATATGCAGATTGGCTTTGTTGATTGTGTTTGTAAGAGTTACAAGTGGTATATGAAACTTTTCTTCCATCTCATGGACATTTCAGTGCTCAATGCATATAATATGTACCAAGTGAAGACTGGCAACAGACCACTGTATGGTAAATTTTGTTTGTCTGTTGTCAGACAACTCACAATGAAATACCAGGTAACAACACCTGCTATACAAAACCGTCCTCGAACTCCTCAGGATATACCCAAGCGTTTGAGGAGGGAAGGTGATCACTTCATAATACAGCTTCCTGCAACTAAGAAGAAATTTGCTCAGAAGAGATGTGTTGTCTGTGCACAAACAAAACAACGGCAACAAAGACGCAGAGACACTTGGTTTATGTGCGAGGAATGTAAGGTACCTCTGTGCATGGTGCCTTGTTTCAAGGAGTTCCACAAGCTGCAGCAGTTCTAAAAACATGTCCAGTGATTGTACATATGTAAATATATGATAGAACATAGTAATATACAAGATTTGTGCATGTTTATTGTAATAAACAAAAGTGGTAAACAATATTATGATAATAACTTTAGTGTGGTTATTGTGTTCAATACAGTGAGTTTATATATATACAGTATTGATCTCTCAGGCCCCAAATGTTAGTAGGAAAAGAAAAAAAATTAGAAAAGAAAAGAAAAAAATATATATAAAAAACGTAAAATAAAGAAATGCACGGCTGTGGAAATCGTCGATGTTGCTGCCACCCGGTCATTTTGGGTCAACTTCTCACCACTGTATCTCTGTAAGTACTGATCAGAAAATTTTTTTTTGTTTTATTACCTTCACAAAAATATACTCTCTTATTCTGTAAGACAAAAATATATATATTTTTTTTTTTCAAAATTTCTTGGACACTGGGGCACCCCTTCCGATTTTGGCTTTGGACCCTGAAAGGGTTAAAGGAAGGGTCTGGGATATTGACAGTTTGGAGGGACTTCTAAACTGTTATATCTGAGCACCTCTGTAAAGACAGTGATTATGTATGAGTGAGGTGAAAGTGTTGAATAATGATGAAAGTATTTTCTTTTTGGGGATTTTTTCTTTCTTTTTGGGTCACCCTGCCTCAGTGGGAGATGGCCAACTTGGTGAAAAAAAATTCCATTAGCTAACTTTCAGTTACTAGTACAGAAAAAAAAGAGAAGATTCTTACAAACCTCCCTAAACAAACTGAGCCGAATGCACAAGACAATCATTTACTAACCTTTTTCCTATTCCTCGATCTAACGACATTCTCTTTCTGGAAGATGGTGTACCCTGAGAAGTGCTAGCAGTTTTATTAGTGAGGTTCTTGAGAATGTTGACATGGGGAGTAGAGCGTTGCGTGGGAGAATATTGCTGCTCCACCTCCATCTCGCCATCATCCTAAGACAAAATTTCTTATTAGTATGACTATCACAACCAAAATTCACAATATTATATTATGCCAAGTCTTTATCAATTTTATAACTTACAATTAAGAGATAAAAGCAACACATGGACATGCTAAACATGAATAAAGACTGATAAAAGACAGGAGAGGTTTGGGATATTGGCAGTTTGGAGGGGTATATGTATTGTGTATCTTTATACGTATATACTTCTAAACTGTTGTATTCTGGGCACCTCTGCAAAAACAGTGATTATGTGTGAGTGAGGTGAAAGAGTTGAATGATGATGAAAGTATTTTCTTTTGGGGCCGTCTCCCACCCTGCCTTGGTGGGAGACGGCCGACTTGTTAAAAAAAAAAAAAAAAAAAAAATCATAATAAAAACAAGTACCAGTATTACCTCAGCATAACACACTCCTATTCAATGGATTTCAGAAACAAGGGACAAAATTTTTGGCAAGATCAAGGATCAGTTAGTCCACTGTATAGGGGCTATGCAGCTGAACCAGTGATTCAGAGAACCAAGCCTGTTGCATCGCAGATTTGTCCATACAACAGGGGGCCTGTAGTACCATTAATGCAGTCCACTGCATTGCAGGTCTGTCCACACAAAAGGGGACCTGTAGTACCACTTATCCAGTCCACTGCTAATCGCATCATGAGTTTAAAACTGGCATAAATACAGTACCATGGGTGACAGAATGTGCTAAACGAGTTACACAAATCCGGCTCAAATGTACAGGAGGGACCTGTTCATACAACTAAATATGGCACCAGTCATCTTTCCCTTACACAACTATTGTACAAAAATGGCAATGTTATAGCATTCGCTGCACCAACTAGTGGCAGCGTATCTGAAGCTCGCTTGTAACTCGAATTTTGGCTCGCAACTCAAAGCAAAAAATCGACTGAGCGACGGCTCGTAACTCGGAAAACTCATAAGTTGGGGCACTCTTAAGTCAATGTACCACTGTAAACATTAAGCCTGTATTAAAAAATATTTACCATCTTTGGATATTTGAAGTGGGGAATTTCTCCACGGAAGACATCATAGATTTGAGAGAGATAGGATATCATGCTCAGTTTGTCTGGAACTTCGCATTCTGCCATTTCAGCACCTGTCATAACCTAGAAAATACAATAATGTTTAAATCAGAGATTAGGGCTGGAAATTACTCTATTTACAATTTTGATAATCATTGTTGAATCTGAGTGTACTGAACTAAAATATATCATGCTTAACAAAGTCTACAGCTGTATAAGCAACTGATCACCACACTGCCCAGACTCACACCAAGCCTCAAATTGGAGAAAAAAAATATTATAGGAATGCATACTATCAAAATACAGAGAAAAGTAAAGAGTTTAATGAATGAAAGTAGTAAAAGTTTTCAAAATTTACCTGCCATCCCACATGTTCATGAGGAAAAAAAAAAATGCCAGCAACCCTGCTCAAGCACAAAACAAACATGTTTCCAGTACACAGTAATAAAGAGATAGTAGCACCTCAATGGAGGTGCTTACTGAATAATCAGTTCAGCAGCCTGACCTTTCTATCCTTGTCTGGCTACATGCACTCAAAGATATGATGAGCACTTCCTGTATTTAAACTGAGTATTTTGTATGTCATCACATCTCTACCTTTTCTCTGTTCCTTCAGTGGCAAAATTGTTCTTGCACTCTTTCTTCATAGCTCATAGTGTGTAGTAGCGAAGTGTGTAGTAATGTAGTGTGTGTGGTGGAGCACTGAGCATGGTGGAGTAATGAGTGTGGTGAAGCAGGTAATGTATTGGAGGATTGTGGAGGGACAATGAGTGGTGCAGGAGTGTGCAGTGGGGGGGAAACTGTTATACAACTCCAACTGTAAAGAGAGCAGATATAAGAGAAATGGTGAAGAAGAAATGGAAAAGTTCTAAACTTTTATCTGCATTTTAAGTTATATTTACAATAATTTTTAAATACAGCTGAACACTTGTTAAGTACAATTTTTCCACAACATGACAAGATACCTAATATTGTGCCAATATTGTACAACTAATTTGAAAATAATGTGCAAGATAATGAAACTATTAAATATCCAAACAAATAAAAACAAACACCCCCCACACACGAGGTAGGACTTACAGGAGGGATCCCAAAGTCCCGCTCCAAGATATCATATGCTAGCTGGTTGTTTTGAGCAACATCTTCTGGCCGTAAGGCCTCAAAGTCAATCAAATCAGGACGGTAGCGATGAATAATAGCACATAAAGCTCGACCATCCTGTAAAAAAAATGTTGCACATTTTTTGATATCTCAGCAAGTTATAAAAAGACTAAGAGAGAAAGAGTTTTACATCTGAATTAAGTTATAAAAACCTAAATAAAAAATTACACCTTAGTAAGCTATAAAAAGACTAAGTGAAAAACCAACTTCATAGTTTATCCATATATTAACATTTAAACTGTCAAAAGCCCTCTAGAACTGATGTAGTGTATGGTATGTCTCAAATCAAAGAATGAAGCACTGGACTTAAGTGATATATCATGTATTTTTTGCATTGTTGAAGTCTTCCTATGGTGTGAGCACATGTATAACATCTCTTCTGAGCCTTTATCTTCTATTGATTTAATGCTAAGTAGTGATTGTGATTACCAGGCTTTAGACTAGATGGAATTTGTTAGGATGTAGTTGTAACTTGTCAAATGGTTGGGTTTGAAGTGGTATTTTGAGCATTCCTGGTGTCACCTTCACTCACTTTCATTTTAAACCTGTGAAACTCCACATTAAAATCACTATCATCAATGCAAGTCAACAATAAGCAGTTAATTCTGGTGGGAGTAAGGGATTCATGGTTAACACAGGCCGAGAGGAAAGCTGTTCCAGCTATGTTCTGAGTGGGGCAAGATTTTTTGCATACTGCACACACCTTGTGTGCAGACCCACTCTTATGTCCTGAGGAGTGAGCAATTAACAAATCCATGACATGACACAAAACATAATGCAATGGGTATTCAACATATAAGTTGCTAATGACAATCATTTCCCAACAAGGCAAGGTGGCCCAAAGAAGAAATAATCTCGCCATTGTTCATTCTCTAGGTGTCTATCCAAAAGTTCACAAGCCTCACAATTGAAATGACACAAACACTGCATTTTTTTTTTATTTTCTCAAACACATTTCATCATAAATGAATAATTATCAAATAAGAAAAAAATTGAATCACATGGCATTGAATTAAGATTATCAAGCAAGAGATTCAAGTACCTTAAAGGAGGTGGTCATATTGTCTACATGTATGGAGTCATACAGAGCAACTTGCTTCTTGCACCACACCAGCAGAGTATCAGGATGGATGAAAGAATCTGCAAAAAGTTATTTTTAGGTATTAACAGTACTTGCTCATGTTTTACGTCATACAAACCTCTCATTAACATTTCTGACAGCCCTGGCTAAAACATGAAATAAATGTATTTAATATACCTGGGCACAATGCCATACATAACTTAAGACCTAATAAAATGGGGAAAAACAGCATAAAGCTATTATAACAAAGGAGATGGTTATGGGTAATATATAATTGCTCTTTTTTAACACACTGGCTGTCTCCCACTGAGGTAGGGGGACCCCCCCCCCAAAAAAAAATTCACCATCACTGTCTTGCTAGAGGCGTGCCGACTTTACAGCCCAGATGCCCCTGTAAACTGCAATATCAACACCCCTCCTTCAGAGTACAGGCACTGTACTTCCCACCTCCAGGACTCGAGTCCAGCTAACCAGTTTCCCTGAATCCCTATGTAAATGTTACCTTGCTCACATTCCAACAGCACATCAAGTCATTAAAAAACACTTGCCTCCACTCACTCATGCCTGCTGGATGTCCAAGCCCTTTGCACGTAAAAATCTCTTTTACCCCTTCCCTCCATTATATTACTAACTATTCTATGACCTTGATAACTCTGAAGCTGTGTAAAAAAATCTGCATACTAACATACTGCATCAAACTTTAATGATGATCTTGGTAACCAAATTGATGGTGACTAATATTACACTAGTCTAACAACAAATCTCAAGCTTCTTATATACAGTATATATACTCAAGTATAACCTAACAGCATGTATAGTTCAACCAAATGCTTTGTCAAAAAACAGATAATTTCATATATCCAAGTGCCAGAAGGGCCCCAACTTATGATGTTCCAACAGCCCAATTACTAACCATCCATGAAAAAAGATCAACAGAGGCGGAAATTGCTGGAAGCTGCCTTAAATGCCATCACCAGTGATTTTACAAAGATCTTAGAGTTTCAGTGTTCCTATACTTTTAGGCAAGAAATTATTACAATATTAGAATTGTTATGCGATACCCTGTGATTGACTGAACCTGCCTCACCTCACTCTCACTACTGGTCACATGTCTCTGCCCACTAGTGGCAAAATATTTCCTATAATAAATGTCCCAAATGTACATAAGCATCATAATTCACAAAAATTATTGCTATATTAAAGTGTGAAGGCTTTCTGGGAAACTGGTTAGCCAGACTTAAGTCCTGGAGGTGGAAAACTCCAGTGCCTGCACTCTTTCAGACTGGAAGATGTTGGAGTTTGGAAGGCCCTTTGAACTGTGAGGTCACACACTTCCAGCATGACAGCGACCAAGTGATGGTGAATGCATTTTCTTTTTTGGGTCACCCTTCCTTGGTGGAAGACAGCTTGTGCTTAAAAAAAAAAAAAAAAAAAAATCAGATTCAGAAATAATATAGGAAAGCAATGCCAAGGAAGGTCACTGAAGCAAATCCTTAGGATAGATTTAATAGTGGGTTGGACAGATATAAGAGCAGAAGTGGTTAGATGCAAGTTGAACTCTCCTACAAGGCACCAGTAGTTCTACTGCAGTGCTCCTGGTTTTTTCCTTACTTTTGTACTAAGGTCACTAGAGGTTAAGTAAACTTTCACTGAGATTTAGCTAGGCAACAACTCAAAACTTTTTACCTTTTGAACATATTTACACATCCATAACACCACCACACTTATACAATAGTATTAACAGTAAAGCTTTGACTATCTTTCAGTCTTCAAGAGGGTTGGGTAACAGCTGACGTAATGTTGGTCGTATGCTTTCAATAAATGAAATTCAAGTCTTGTTATACCAAAAGAAGCTTTGCTGCCTTGATAAGTTTTACTCCTCAAAGGTCATCACAGAGAGAGAAAAGAAAACAACAAGTCTCCAAAAAATTTATTCAATTTTTATTTTACTTTCCCAACTGTAATTTAGCCTAATCATGAGTTTTCCCTACTAGCACTTACTATTATTCAGTGCCTCCTTTCTTTATACCTTCAACACAACCGAGTTAAAGCAATTATAATTAAAGAACACAGTGCAGAACAAGCTATTATTGGGACTGCAACATGTATCTTCTGTTTAATGTTGCCACCCATAAGGCACTTGGGTCTAACTTAATTTAAGCACACAGCAAATAATTCAATATGCACAAATATCCATTAACATTACATGCATTTCTGATAACATTGCAACAGACAGTGAATAAATTTTAATTTTCAAGGGATTTAAAAAGTAGTGATCCTCAAAAGGAAAGTTTCTAGGAGGAATAAAGAATTTCAGGGAGAGTTGGATAACTATACAAATATCCCCAAAACTACTAGGCAATCAGGGATGAGAAAGCAGAAGACTTGTTAACTTATAAAAGTGCAATGACATCTAGGAAATCCTTGTTATAAGGTAGGGCAGTATCTCAAAGTGAGAAGGAAAATGAGTTCTGGGGAGGGGAGAAATGTCGTCAGACCACACATGCCACAGAAATTCCTTCACTCTGTTGGCTAACAATTCTGACATTGTGTAAACAAAGAACAAAATAAAGTGCATAGTGCTGAGGGTTGATCAGAAAATTCAATTATAACTGCAATACACAAAGTTTCTGAAAAAACAGATACGAAACAAGTACAGTAAATAATAAACCAAGGGAGAAATTAACTATACAGCAGATTCAATATTTAGTATTTAGATAATTTGGTTTATTTCTATACTTGCTATCATTGCAGACTACTAGCTGCCTCAAAGCTCCTACATTTATCTTCCAAAAACACAAAATGCTGTAAAATTAGCAAAATTTTAATTACTTAATCTGCTGTCAACAGTCTGAATCTATCCTTTCAACAAACTGGCCGTATCCCACCGAGGTAGGGTGACCCAAAGAGAAAAAGGAAAGTTTCTCTTTCTAAATTTAGTAATGTATACAGAAGAGGTTACCATCCCCTTGCTCCTGCCATTTTAGTCGCCTCTTATGACACACATGGCTTATAGAGGAAGAATTCTATTCCACTTTCCCATGGAGTCTACCTTTTTTATTTTTTTTTTAAGTGAATTTTGGTGTTGAGAAGGATTCTATCTAGCTTACTTTCAACATCTGACTTGCTTCAGGTCACATGGTGGGTGGATAAAATGGCCTTTATTACAGGTTCAATTCAATTTAAACTTATTTAATGCACTAAATTCACAAACATGCAAAAACCAACAAATCACAAGCAACCATCAAAGTGCACAGAAGCAACATTGCAAGGTAATATTTAAGAAACAAATACTCTAATTATGAAAGAAAAGAAGCCACTCTCTATTTAACTTCACCTTAACAGGAGCAACAATAACAACAACCGAACTTTGATAATAATAATAATAATAATAATAATAATAATAAAAAAAAGCCTTAAAATTCAACTAATTTATTAAAAAACATAAAAAAAATTACAGTATACTTTTTCAACTTTGTCTTTATATATATATATATATATAAAGCTTAAATGTTTTTTCTTTTTTCAAAAGTTTAGATGTTGATGCTGTCACTTCAGGTCACAGCACCTCATTACAACATTTACTTTCATTAATGTAAAGGGGATTCTTTTCTTGTCATAACATTTTCTAAATTATATACAATGCATGGATGGGGCCAAATATGTAACTTTGTTTGAATTTGCATTTGCAAATATAGAAAAATTGGTATGATATGTATTTTATTTGTTTTCCAAAAAAAAAATTGTTTTGTTTTGTTGTTTAACAAGTCAGCCGTCTCCCATCGAGTCAAGGTGACCCAAAAAACAAAAACACTTTCACCATCATTCACACATGATCCGTCTTTGCAGAGGCGCCCAGATACGACAGTACAGATTTCACTCCAAACAGCCAATATCCCAAACCCCTCCTTTAAAGTGCAGACACTGTACTTCCCACCTCCAGGACTCAAGTCCAGCTAACTGGTAAACCTGAATCTCACAAAATATTACCTTGCTCACATTCCAACAACTCGTAAAGTCCCAAAAACCATTCGTCCCATTCACTCCTAACACACACATGCCTGCTGTATGTCACACCCCTTCCACACAAAGCTTATTTTGCCCCCTCCCTCCACCCTTTACTAGGATGACCCCTATCCCTCCTCCCCTCCACTACAGATTGATACAGGGTAAGTCATCCTTGTTTTGCTCCATCCTCTCCAAATGACCAAACCACCTCAACAAACCCTCCTCAGCCTTCTGAATACTTTTAGTAACTATTTAAACGAACAGGAGTTAACTAATGTTCATTGCCCACCATAGTAACAGAGCTATACAATGGACTGCTTTACTTATTACTATACTGTACTAGAAATTGCATTACTGGTGGCTAAGAATATTTTACAATTTAAATTTTAGCATATTTCACAAAAATTATAGTAAAATAACTATAATTGAAATTAGATTTTATTTATAATTGAAGCCTTGTATTTGGTTAGTACTGTTATATCTTCGAAATTGGTCATCCTGTGTTATTTAAATATTGTAAGAGCATATGTTCATCACTTAATATTATAGCGCGAAAGTCCCCGTTTATAGCTAAAATAGAGACTTTCGGCGTTATATTATTATCTGTTAATATATGAAAAATACCATGCTATTATCGCTATTATCATTATTATCACTATTATCTTATTATCACTATTTTGTAATTATCACTATTATTTTACTATTATGGTTAGGTAGGATTTCTTGTATATATAGAGTTTAAGTCTCAGAACCATCCGGTGAATTGTTCAGTTGTTTATGTCCGGCTGGCTGACGTGGCTCAGCTGATCCAACCTGACGACACGTCAACAGACTGGCAAGTAGTCAGTCTCCTCCCAGCTCTAGCCCTGACTACTGATTGTATATTGGCTCTTACGGTGTACAGTTGAATGGTTTTGAGAATTGGACTCTAGAGCTGACTCACTTTGTTCCTCATTGCTTTGAAAGACTCTTTTGATATTTATATTCTTGGTCAGTTCAGTAATCCATAGAGATACTATACGGCCAGATTCAAAGGTCTTGTTAAATCTTG